TGAAGCTATGGGTCATGCCGGTGCTTCATTGTCGTTCCCGGATGACGCCGAAACAGCCCCGGTTGACCCAGGCAGAGCCCCGGTCGATCCAGACAGAGCCCCGGTCGATCCAGACAGAGCCCCGGCAGAGACCAGGACGATCCAGGCATAACACCCGTAGAACCCCTGTGGCATTCGGAACTGCCTCGGCTATTATCTATAATAATCTCGGAAACAATACGGAATGAAAGTAGTTCTCCCACGTGGTTCAGATGTAAACAGAAACAGAGATTATGTAAAACGAATGTATATATTTGACATCCAATGTATGTTCCAGTACTCTTATGCTTGAAAATTATTTCTGACAACAATTTGTAATTTAACCCTTTACCTCATATATACGTGAAACAACGCACTTTCGACCCCCCCCCCCCCCTTTTTTAGGCCTGAAATAGTGAAAAAATGTCCTATTTGGGCCCCAAACACATGTTTTCGTTTGAGAAATATTGCACTTTTTCGGCGCCACCCACCATCCAAAAGATACATCAGGGGATTATCAGAAGGGGGATGTGCCCCCTTCTGTTTCGGGGGTTTGAAGGGGGGTGGAGTCCCCCTCATCGCCAAGAAAATTTTGAACTTGTGAGAGGCTTAAAATGACCCCAGGTCGATCATAAGGTAACGTGTAACCAACGCTGAAAAGCCTTTGACTCTATCTTAATCCCTTGTGAAGTTGTAGCACTTTTAAATAAATTTTGATGGAAAAAATCGAGGCAAAATAGTGATTTTCGGCAATTTTGAGATGTCCCCTCGTTGCCATGGTAACAGGAAATTTAAGACTGAGCATGTCATCACAAAGGCAATGGTCCAGTCAACATTTGTGCCAAGTTTGATTAGTATTGAAGCATTTTTCATAGTTTCATAGCAGTTTGAACTTGTAAGAGGAGGCTTTTCAGTGAAAATGGCCATTTTTTAAAATATGCTCATGGGGGGAAAGGGTTAACTTAAAAAAATTATAAATGTTACAAAACAACAATTTTCACCAAAATTAGGTAAAAGACCACCTTTTAACATGGAAAAACTAGATTTTGGGTGATTCCAAAGTTTTTCATCATTTTTTGTTAACCCTTTACCTCATATATACGCGAAAAAACGCACTTTCGACCCCCCCCCCTTTATAAGGCCTCAAATAGTGAAAAAATGTCCTATTTGGGCCCCAAACACGTTTTCGTTTGAGAAATGTTGCTAAAAAAAGTGAGCACTTTTTCGGCGCCGCCCACCATCCAAAAGATACATCAGGGGGTTGCCAGAAGGGGGATGTGCCCCCTTCTGTTTGGGGGGTTTGGAGGGGGTCCCCCTCATCGCCAAGAAAATTTTGGACTTGTGAGAGGCTTAAAATGACCCCAGGTCAATCATAAGGTAACGTGTAACCAACGCTGAAAAGCCTTTGACTCTATCTCAATCCCTTGTGAAGTTGCAGCACTTTTAAATAAATTTTGATGGAAAAAATCGAGGCAAAATAGTGATTTTTGGCAATTTTGAGATGTCCCCTCGTTGCCATGGTAACAGGAAATTTAAGACTGAGCATGTCATCACAAAGGCAATGGTCCAGTCAACACTTGTGCCAAGTTTGATTAGTATTGAAGCATTTTTGATAGTTTCATAGCAGTTTGAACTTGTAAGAGAAGGCTTTTCAGTGAAAATGGCCATTTTTCACAATATGCTCATGGGGGAAAGGGTTAAATATGCCCACTGATGTTCAATTTTAAACAAATCCGACTAAATGTCAACAGGTTGGTTTTTTGTACTTTCGGTTTCTACAACCATAATACTAAATATGTAAATAATGTATTGTTTGCCTTTGTACCTATGAATTCACTTATTTAAAGTGGACTTTTACTACATAAATTGGAAATAAGCTTGTCAACAACTCCCAGCATTAAATTACTATTTGTTTACATGTTTAGTTTCTTAGCGTAGGTAAGACCAAAATACCGCATCCGTTCTGTGTATTCATACTATTGTGTTCGAGGCCCTTTTCCGAAGACTGACGGAAAGGGCCGAGTAGTTGCGATTGCCCCTGTGGATTGAAAATCCACATAATTGTTATTTAATATATTAATATCTATTGTTCCAAAACAGTAATTCATGATGATTTTCTGAAAAATCCTTATGCAAGACTGGATAGAAGGGAAATGGGAAAGGTTTTAATACAAACAAGTGCAATCATCGCAAATTGTCCTGATTCTTTTGAAATGAACAGGGCTTTGCCGGGGCTCTACCGGGATCAATCGTAGCTCCATCGTCATCCTCAGGGGCTCTGCCGGCATCCTCCGGGGCTCTGCCGGTATCCTCTAGGGCTCTGCCGGCATTCACCGGGGCTCTGCCAGCATTCAGCGGGGCTCTACCGTAGCTCTACCAACTATATCATACCCCGGATCATCCCCGGTGTGCTGGCAGAGCTACGGTGCTTCCCAAGTGTAGCCCGGTCGTTTCCTGGCAGAGCTAAGGATGAAGCCGGCAAAGCTTCACTTCCCGAATCATCCCGAACCACCCCGGTGATATCAAATATTTTATCACATCCGGGGTCGAATGCCTGATGTTCCCGGATCATCCCAAACGTTGCTGGCAGAGTAACGTCTGTACCCCAGTTGTTCCCGGATCACCCAGGACGTCCACCGGGGCTCTGCTGGGATGTCAGTGAGACTGTAGATTAAGGCATGTCCGGGGTTCGTACTCTCAGTGCCTGTAAGGGATGATGGACCCTCATTAAGCCTAGAATACATACAATGTACATACATGAAAAACTTATCTCATTCGATTTGGAAATTCTCTAGTCTGTCTATGAATATAAATCAGAATAATTCCAGAATATCGGCACTTATTGAATCATTTATATTGGCTCTGTCACATTTGCTAGGGCTATTTCACATTGCAGATGGCGCAAGCACCTTGCCGATGACTTGATAACATTTGAACAAATGTAAATATATTAATTTAACTAAGCCCTTTGAAATATTTTTGTGTTGAGCCAAAGGGAATGTTAGTATCATGTACCATGTACGATAAATTTGGCAGACATTTACTTTACGGTAAGGAAATCACTGAAGATGTGTATCAACGTAATAGAAAACATTCGAGTTAATATTTGGTTATAGATGAATAAAACTTCGCCCCGCGGGGACGCGTAGTGAGATTTAAGAAATAAAACAGTGGGATCGCGGGACTAAAACATGCTAATAAGCGGAGCCGTGCGGCGAAGTTTTATTTATTAAACTTTGCCCCGCGCCCCCGCTAATAAGCGTCTTTTCATCTCGCGGCCCTGCCAAGCTAAAAGTCGGTAATTAACAAGTTAAATTGGCTGGGGCACTGAGCGAAAACACGCTAACGGGCCTCGTCGTTTTATTTTTAAAATCTCACCCGTGCCATTGCGGGGCGAACTTTTATATATTAAACTTTGCCCAGCACCTGTTTTCGCTCCGCGCCCCGCCATTTTAACTTGTTAATTCTCGACTTTTCGCTTGGCGCGGTCGCGGGGCGAAAACACGAATGTCACAAATCAGCCACCATACTGAAAATATTGGATTATTTTTTATTATTCTTTTGGTTACCAATATCTAAGGAAGTAAGGCAGTAGAATGCGACGTGAATGGTGAGCTCGGAATATTCGTTTTATCTAAAAATATGTAAACATAAAAAATAAAGGTAGTTCCTACCCTTATGCGTAATTGCTGTCTTAGACAATATCACACCGTACAATTGAATGGGCAGACAACCGTTCATTCGTCAACAGCTGTACTAGTATATACATGTACATGTATAAACATGTCGGTGTAAAAAACACAATTGACTGACGGTAAGTATTTAAGAAAAAGGAAGGCACGATAAGATTCCAAGAGAAAACAGAAAATTGTCCATTAAATTTGGTAGAAACAGAATACCTTTTCTTGTGTATGCCCAAAATATTACAATTTACGTAGAAATTTTTTTAAACAATATTTTTGTAGATGGCCTACAATACAGAAATTCGAAACACTAATTACAAGCACAAATATCAAAACAATTTATAATCTGACAAGTTATTTTTACTACGCATTTAAAGAAAGGACATAACTTTAGATTTTAACCTTTTAATATCCAATAACACTTTTTTCTCAATGATTACTGGTAAAAGGGAGATAACTTTGACAACAAATGCTTAGTGCATATATAACGGTTATGTCATCTTAGAAATACATGTATTATAATTGCCGTGTGATATAATGCAAAGTTAACAAATATATTTCTACTTTGTTTCTTACATATATAAGTATTTTTATGCAAACTCTTTACCTTTGTTTAAACTTGATAAACATTTCTTCTCGGCAACGTTAACACATATTTTTATACCCTGTTTAAGTACATTTGTTTCTTATAAGTATGTTTATACAAACTTTGTTAGATATGTCATAACAATTGTTAATTAATACTCGCCAGCAATACTTCTCGGCTAACTGTAACACTTTACACCACACAGTATCTGTATGACTATAAATCGTATGTATACAATTTTATGTTGTTATGTTATGTTATTTATCTATTTTTAACATATCCCAGCTGTGTTCGAGTAAATAAAACATACGTAATTGATTCATAGTCAATATCCAAAGGAGCATGCTAACAAATTTTTGGCATGTACAAGCTTTACTTTATGTGAATTTTGACTGAAAATAACCACACTTTCCGATGTAACGTAACGTCATGAACCGTTCGCCTCTTTTTAATATTAACATTAGCATCCATTCATTTAAGCAAGAGTGAATAATGGTGAAAACGGTTCAACGAAACAATTTTAAAGGCTTTTGGGCTATAGTAACTAGGAAAGAATAAAACTTTTTTGTTCATTTAAAATACTCTTTTATTCATGGTACTTTGTAATAGACCTCATGCTTACGAAATCCATCTTGACTTCAATAATTTTTTAATTTTCCGTCATATAAAATGGACCCCCATCCAAGCTTTAGTGCAGGATGGAGGGCATTATTTGAGTAAAGCCGGAGGCTAAGCATGTACAAATAGCATTTCATCTTGGTCGTATGAAAAACATCGCAAATTTAAAGGATTTAAATTACCCGCCAATAATCACGCATGCGCAATAAGACCACGTGATCAATACCGGAAATAGCGTGAGAAATCACAATTTAAAGACAATATATTTTGTTGTTACGAATAACAGAGGAGGGTATAAATACACTATTAATATAATTAATCAAGGGCAGGGTTTGTACATGCTTAGCCTCCGGCTTTACTCAAATAATGCCCTCCATCCTGCACTAAAGCTTGGATGGGGGTCCATTATTTTTCATAAAGCCTTTGGCTTTCACATGTACAAATAGCATCTTTAAAGACAACAAAATATATAACATACATAATACAAAACAAATTTATTTGTTTGTTTGTCTCGAATTTTACGTCACATTGACACAGTATAGGTCATATCGCGACGTTCCAGCTTACCATACAAATAATTTTATTTTAACCCTCAAATACCGCATTACTATAAGGAACATTTTTGTCAATATTTCTACAATAAAACTTCTTAAAATTCTTGTCCGATTTCCAATTAGCATGAGAAATAATTGTCTTCAAGGAACAACCTTTGTTATAAGCTGCCGAAGCAGAAGCACCTCTATAAGAGTGCGCTTTGTAAATATTTGAATCTATACCAGATAAATCAAGCACTGTTCGAAGCCACCTGGCTAAAGTACAAGTAGTAACCTCTTTATACGAAACAAAAGAAATAAAAACCTTTCTACTTAACCTTAAAGAAGACGTTCTTTTTATATAATAAAGTAAAGTATGCATAGCACAAACATTCTCATTACTAAAATGTTCCACTTTTAACGAATAGCACTGTGCTGCCTTTGAAGTCTTTAAAATATCGGAAAAAGTAAAAACAACTGCCTGTTGTTCCACTATCATGTTATTTAAGTTCAAAGCACACAAAGTCTGTGCTCTGGGTGCTGTAGCCAACGCAACCAAAGCCAACGTCTTAAAAGTCAACAATTTTAACGACAAACTTGATAAAGGCATTAGACTTCCTAAATATTCAAGAACAACGGAAACATCCCATGTTAAAAAATATCTGGGTTTTGTTGGTTTGTGAATGAAAACACTTTTCATAAATCTATTTATCATAGAAAGTTTTTTACACCATTTATTTCCCAAAATTAATAAAGTCTGAATTAACATAGCCTTGTGAATATTTATTGTAGAGTAAGATTTACCGGATCTATAAAGAAAATATAAAAAGCAAATTACAACCGTTTCAGAGGCACAAAGTGGATTGGAACCTCTGAGATAATTCCAAATACACCACTTGCTCCAAGCACTTGTGTACTGTTTACGTGTACCTTTAGACCATGAGTTGGATATGAAACCTGCAATTTCTTCCGGAAGTCCTGTATCTTTGAATGCTTTCCTGACAACACAACACCAACCATCTTCATTCTTTTTGACAAAGGATGTTTCTGTCCGTCGTGCGGAAGCACTAATAGGTCTGTATGCCTTGGTAATCTAATAGGAAAATCAGATAAAATATCTAATAATAAGGGAAACCAGCTTTGAGTAAACCAGTAAGGGATAACTACTAAGGCCTTATCAACTTCATCTGTAATGATCTTATTAATTACCTTCCCAATAAGGTTAAATGGTGGAAAAATATATGGAGTGAAATTACTCCAAGAAATAGCAAATGCATTAACAGCTAAAGCACCTGGTTCAGGAAACCAAGATACAAATCTTGGTAAACGTTTATTTAACCTTGAGGCAAAAAGGTCGACATCAGGAATAAAAGTATGTTTACATAACCTCTGAAAAATATCATCTTTAAGCATCCACTCAGTGGAGTCCGAAAAATTTCTGGAATAAAAATCTGCTGAATTTAATCTTCCAGGAACATGAACAGCAGAAATATAAACATTTCTATCTAAACACCATTTCCAAATTAATTTTGACAAATTATCCAAATCTCTGGACTCCATACCACCAAAATTATTAATATAGGCTATAGCAGTCGTATTATCTGACTGAACCTGTATATGTAAATCCTTACATTCAGCAAACATAGCCTGTAAAGAATAGAAAATAGCAAGGAGCTCCAAATAATTTATACTATTATTTAATTCTCTTAAACTCCACCTTCCATTACAATGTATATTATTATCTATGTCTATACCCCCATAGCCTTCAAACGATGCATCAGTTCTACAATGTCTAGATACAGTAACAGGCCTTATTCTCTTACCATTTTTTAACTTAACATTATTGAACCACCAAATAACTTCTTGTCTGCCTAAAATAGATAGAACAGTCTTGTTATCAAAATTCATATCGGACCCTAGTCCGCAAATTTTATCTCTTTCTAACTCCCTATAGTGCAAAGGAGCTTCCAAAATAGCATTGAAGCTACTTACGATCAAACCAATAAAAGAAGCTAGTTCTCTAACAACAACTAATTCACATTCTAGTATACTACCAGCTTTTTTAATAATTTTTTCAACTTTTTCATCAGTAAGGAAAACTTTAAAACAGACCGTGTCAATAACATGTCCAAAGAAAACTATCCTCTGACAGGGCACCAATACTGATTTTTTCCTATTAATAGTAAAACCAAGGCTTTGCAAAGTTTCTAAAATTCTACAACTGTTACCTTCACAAACAATCTTTGATTGATCCATATTTATAGAATCATCTATATAATAAGATGACCTAATATTTTGTTGCCTAAACCAAGCAAAAACTGGTTTCATAATCTTTGTAAATAAATACGGTGCTATCTTTAAACCAAAAGGTAGACAAACAAAAGAATACAAGGTAGAGTTCCAGGAAAACTTAAGATATTTCCAATAAGATGGATGAATAGGAATAGAAAAGTATGCATCAGACAAATCTATTTTTGTCATGTAATCATTTTGTTTCAACAAATCTAAAACAATATTGAATGTTTCTTGTTTAAAATGGTTGTACTGAACAAATTCATTCAAAAATTTTAAGTTAATAACTGGCCTAAATTTATTATTAGGCTTTGGAACAATAAAAATTGTTGAGATAAATTGATCATCCCCCATATTAGACTCTATTATAGCACCTTTATTTAGAAGTTCCTGAACTTCACAATCAACAATTTCTTTTTGACCAAAAGCAAAAGGAATTTCTCCTGGAACTCTGCTCTGAAAAGGTTTACAAACAAAATCAATCTTATAACCTGTAATGGCACCCAAGATCCAAGGATCCTTCGTAAATTTTAACCAATTGTCTAAACAAAATCTTGTCTTACCAACACCACCTACCTTCTCAACTAAATTCTCTCGTTTGGGTCACGCACAGCATCAGAGGTTACAGTGGCAGTGGGACGTCTCCTAGGAGCTCTCGATCTTACAGCGTTGCTGCCTCTAAAAGAATTACCTCTCATAGGATAAGGGTATGGACGAAATCCTTGTGACTGCTGATAAGAACTAGCATAAACATTGTTTCCAGCATTTGCATAACCACGACTTCCTCTAAATCTACCTCTAGATCTCATCACACCTCTAAAATTTGTAGTTTGGAAATTGTCTTTCCCCAGAAAGGAAATATTTTCACAAGATTTCACCTCTTTTGAAATTTCATCTCCGAAGAGCTTTGTTGTAATTGGCACTGACATATTACACAAAGGACTGTATTTCTTTTTAAGATAAGGTCTTATATAATACCTCCTGCGCAAACTTATATTATACTGCACCTGGCCTAAGCCTGTAATCAAGTCTGTAATCAAAGTTTTCATCTCCTCATTTAAAGACTTATTCTTCTTTAGCATCTCAATTAACTTGATGACTGGAACAAAACTTGTACTCAATAAGTTCTGAATATCAACTAAAGACTTATCCTGCATGTGTCCTTTTTTATCCAAAAATCTCCACACTTCTTGATTAACAAGAGGAGGTGTAGCCAAATCACAATTTGAAGGAACAGAATATCTATTGAAAAGAGAATCGGTGTCACACTGTACTGTGCAAGCAGTATTTATCAATTTTGACAAAGAGTCAGAAATGGCATCACCCCTCTCAGGGGCCTTCACTTTTGGTAAATCCCAAGAAAAACCAGCATCGTCATCAACAACAGTGCTTGAATCAAAAGCAGTATGAAAATCCTTATTCAAGTCCCTAGGGCCCTGATTATGAAAAGTTGAAAAATCATCTTCATAATCTGAAATGTCACATGCATCAACCTGAACTCTAATATTATCTCTAGGATGGGCACTGTAAAAATCAGAATCTTCCACATTCTCGTCATATAATAAATTGTTATTATCATCAACTGTAGAGGAATTACCAATATTTCTTTCTTGTGGAATAATACCTAGAGCAGTCCTAAGACTCTCTATATCATGCTCCGAGAGTTTAGATAAATCTAAAATATTACCTGGGTCCGAAGTACCCACAGGAGGGTCCGAGGAACGCCCCCTTTTTCCATCCGAAGATGTTTTCTTAATTTTTTCAGAATTGTTATTTTTCTTACCTTTTTTAGCTTTAACAACAACTGATTTAACCTTAGTCTTTTTCTTGCCAGCAGAAGATGTCGAGGCAAGAGGTTGTTTACCCCTGTCATTTTCAGGATTTTGAACCGTATCAGAATCTGAAAAACCTTCAAATTCAGAAGAACTCCCCGAAGCGAGTATATCTAGGGTATCGTCTTTCGACATAACAAAATACGTAACAAAATACGTACCTCAAAAGACCCAGAAGAATCAAAATAAATTCGAACAGTCGAAAAGAGAAAACACGATGTATTCACCACGCCGCAAAATGAAAAAGTGATTTCTCACGCTATTTCCGGTATTGATCACGTGGTCTTATTGCGCATGCGTGATTATTGGCGGGTAATTTAAATCCTTTAAATTTGCGCGATGTTTTTCATACGACCAAGATGAAATGCTATTTGTACATGTGAAAGCCAAAGGCTTTAATGCGGAGCATTCTCGCATTTTACATGAAAACGAACATCAAATCATTCTGCTATTTGATTTGTATAAGCGGGGGATTTGCAAATCAGATAAATGTGTGTTTTAAATGTTTATTCTATGACTTTACCGTCATGTGCGATTAGGAAAAAACAGACTTTTGGAAAATCACATAGACACTAATACATTAAAATGAGTATTAAAAACAGATCGCGTTACAGAATTGTATAGTTAACGTTTGTGGTAAATCAAAGTGTTTTTTTTCCTTCAATTGATATTTCTAGATATATTGTTAACCCTTAAAAACTTGTAAAATTAGTTAACATGGCTTTTCTCGTGCAAACACTAAGAAAGATCTGATGCATGGAATCTTTTAAACATTCTAACGAACATAATTTTGTGCCGTCTATAGATACCGTGAAGAGCGAAAATTCATATTAAACAAGGCGCCGTTGATGCACTTCATGTTGAACCGGGACTTAGATAATATATAATGTCAAATTAAGTAAGACATAAAATAAAACAAGAGGGCCATGATGGCCCTGAATCGCTCACCAGAAACAACTGTTTTTCAGTGATTATAGAAATATTTTTTTCAAATAAACTTGTAGAAAGACAAGTCCAGGTCAACTTCAACTTGCCTCTCTATAAGGTTTCCCAACTCAAAAATGATAGGAACCAAGTTTGGTGATCATCCATCCATTAATTTGTGATAAAATTTGCCTATGACTGTTTTTCAACATTGCGATCTTTCTTCTTTTTTTTAATTATCTAAAAAATTAGATAATTATATATTCTCAGTATTTAGATATACATGTATACTGTTTGTCAGGATGACACCACCGATCAATATTTATTCAAGATAACATAGGTATACTAGTCATCTTGACCAGAAAGTTAACATTCCAGGTTATTTTATCTTACAATAATAGAAATGGGAAAAATTGTATCTTTAACTACATAGAGGAAAAAGGCAAAAGGTTGTTTTGATGAAATGTAAATTTAATCAGTACGTCTTGTCACATTAGTTTTGTCTATATATGGTGGTCCAAATGGTAGCGGTGGTTTTGATCTGCATGGTGGTGGTGGTCCGCATGGTGGTGGTGGTACGCATGTTGGCCATGGTCCGCATGTAGTGGTGTTCCACATGGTAGTGATTGTGATCTGCATGATGGTGGTGGTCCGCATAGTGGTGGTGGTCCGCATGGCGATTGCAGTCCCAAGTTGACGTGGTCTGCATGGTGGTGCAGTCCGCGTGGTGTGTGGTGTGGTTCACATGCTGGTGGTGGTCTGCATGTTGGTGGTGATCTGCATGTTGGCACTGGTCCGCATGTTGGCGATGGTCCAGCATGTTGGTTGGCAGTCCGCAATGTTGGTGGCAGTCTGCATATTGGTGATGTCCGCATGTTTGGGATGGTCTGCAAAGTTGGGTGGAGGTCAGCATGGTGGGGGCCCGGTCCGCATGTTTGTTTGGTGGTCCGCATGTGGGGTGGTGGTCCGCATGTTTTGGTGATAGTCCTCATGGTGGTGGTGTTCCCACATTTTGATGGTTTTGGTCCAATTGGTGAAAAGTGGATCCGCTTTGGTGGTGGTGGTTTTGCCCTGTCGGGGTGGTGTTTTCCGCCATGTTGGGGCCATGGGTCCGCATGAATGCGGTGGTTTCCACAAAAAAGGTAGTGATGGTGATCCGCATTGTAGGTGGTCCGCCAATGGTAGTGGTGGGTCCCGCATGGTGGGGGATTGCGGTCCCAAAGGTGAACATGGTCGCATGGTTGTGGTGGTCCGCATGGTGTAGTGGTTTTGGTTCACAATTGCTTTGGTGGTGGTTTTCCGCATGTTTGGTTGTTTTTTTTTGGTCCTGCATGTTTGGCAATGGTCCGCATATTGGCGATGGTCCAGCATGTTGGTGGCAGTCCGCATGTTGGTGGCAGTCTGCATTTTGGTGATTGTCTGCATGTTTGTGATGGTCTGCATATTGGTGGAGGTCCGCATGGTGGCGGCTGTCCGCATGTTGGTGGTGGTCTGCATGGTGGTGGTGGTCTGCATGTTGGTGATGGTCCTCATGGTGGTGGTGGTCCACATGATGGTGTCCGCATGGGTGGTGGCGGTCCGCATGATGGTGGTGATCCGCATGTTGGTGGCGGTCCACATGATGGTGTGAAGACCACATGTTATGTGGTCTGCATGGTGGTGTGGTCTGCAACAGTGGTGGTCCGCATGGTGGTGGTGGTCCACATAGTGGTGGTGGTCTGCACAGTGGTGGTGGTCAACACAGTTGTGGTGGTCTGCATGGTGGTCCAAAAATTTGGACTTTTGACCTTGAAGGTCAAGGTCATTTATGGATGAAGGTCAAGGTAAGTGTGGTCTACTGAAAGGTCTTGTCCCAAGGGTTGTTGTGGCCAAGTATGAAGACAATACACCAAGAACTTAAAAAGTTATGATCCAGGTACAAGTTTGCGGACGGCAACAGCTACGGTAAGGGCAACGCTGCCACAACTAGAACAATACTTCTACTTTTTTTTCAAAAAAAGTCCAGCTAAAAATGACAAAATAACATAAAGACAAGCAAGTTATACTCTTAAGTTTTGTTCCTTCATGTAAAATGCGAAGTTATCAAAGATTATAAAGTAAAATAAGATGAAAAATAATTTCAGCCATATCTACATTTATGAAATATTTTCAAATTTATTAACATTTAACTTATTATTTTCCTAGTGTTTCTCAATTGAAAAATTATTTGAATATTACCTTATGAAAGAAAAAAAGAAAAAAAAACTGAGATCAGAGAAAGTGGTTATGCAGCTGTTCAGGCTATTAAGACAATTAAAGGTCAATCATTCAGGCTATTCTATACATTATTATTATATTCTCATATAAATATAATACAACAGATACTTAAATGAGTCTCAGTGAAAAACAATCACCTATCTTATAGACAGTGACAATATCCCATGCACATATGAAACATCAGGTTCAACAGTGTGTCCCAATATTTATTGAAATGTGTTTTCTCCAAGTAAGTAAGCTACCAGAAACAAATGAAACATTTTTTTAGGCCTTGAGGAAAATTCAATAGATTGACCTACAAATGAACCTTAGAATTATGCAATGCTGGTCTGAAAAAATAATTAGATTTCTATACAAACAAAAAAGTATAAAGAAAAAACCCCAAAGACAAGGTCAGTACACTCTTTTCCATGAACTTAAGCTATTAGCAGACAGCTTTCTGCCTCCAGAGATTAGCTGTGGTCAGTAATGATATGCAGCGTTCTATTTTTAGTAATTTTGAAAGGGGTCTAATATTAGATGCCTTGCAGAATGTAAGGTCAATTTCAGGTCACTCATGTTTTATTTAGTGGAGGCAGAAAGCTGTTTACTGAAAAGCCTCCAGAACAAGTTTAAAGAGAAGTTATATCACAATAATCATACTTTAATTGTTAAAATAAGCAGTTGTTATTAGCAAAATATTTCTTAAATGTTTCAGAAATTTGTGAATTATTGATGTTTTTGTCTGTTGGTTTTATTTTTGGTTCTTTTTTGTAAAAATTTAAAAGAATTTTATTAAATTGTAAATAAAATAGTTAAATCAAAGACAAAAGGCGCTGAATTTTTTGGTCTCAAAAGTAAAAAAAGGTGCAGGTTGTAAGATTTAAAAATTTGTGCCACCAATGCTTTCCGGTTTTATTGTGAAAATTGGATATAGATTTATTGCCATGTATGCACCCCTTTTTATTTGATTTAAAAAAATTTTAAAAAAAAAAAGAGTTGCCTTTTGGGATTTAAATCAGACCTCGTTCTGGCCCGAGCGCAAAAACCTTTTTGCACGGTGAATTATATGTGAACGGCCTGAAAAAAAACCATTTTATTCAAATTGGGGTTGTAACGAAATTAACGTTTTTTAAAACCAATGTAAAAAATCCTGGACTTATATAAGATGATATTTATAAAGAATAAAGGGATGCAATTTCTGGGGTGTTTTCTGATCTTTGAAAATCTTAATCGTACGTATACGTATGCTTTTTCCGTATAATTTTTATTTTTGTTTTTATAATTCATTTTGCAAGGGCCCCAGGTTTGATACTCGGAACCTGCATAACTGGATGCATCAAAAAATATTTATTTTAAAATTTTTTTTACGACGTACCTTTTCTTGATTCTGGATTTCCTTAAAAAAAGACACTTAAAAAAGTTTTAAAAAAAATTCCTGTTGGGATTTGAATCCGATACTTCGGGCCGAGCCGTTCCCCCTCACCACGGAGAATTATCCCCAAATAAATTGAATAAATCGGGTCATTTAATTTAGAACTTCCATTCCCTTTGGGTTTGTTATCCTTTTTAATTTCGGGGTTTTTTTGTTCAGGATAACCTGTTTTAAAAATTAAAAGTAAAATTTAGCAAAAATTTTCCCTCCCAAAACGCCCGAAAATGTAGAATTTATATTCCACTTTTGTTTGTGTATATTCGGAAATAAAACATCGCTAAAAATAGTTTTTTTTCTTTGAAAAAATTTCATATTCATCCCGGAAAATTTGTGATTGTGATTTTTGACTTTTTTTTACAACTTTTTAAATTTTAATGCGTTGTTTTTTGTTTATTTGAAACTAAAAAATTTTTTTCTTTTAAAATCCTTTTTTAACTGTTTGAAACTTTGTGTTGGTTTTTGTACTTCTGTGTCAGGGTTTTAACCCCTTTTTATTAACTTAATTTCGATCAGAAAATAAATAAACAAAAATTAGAAATTTGCCTTGGAAATTTTGCTTGAAAATTTAATTTGCTGTCTTTTACATTTTCGCAGTGACCCCCTAATTTTTCGGTGTTAGTGAATTAAAGGGGAAGTAACCTCTTCAAGAAAGTGGACTACTTTCGGCGTTTGCAATTAACAACATTAGACTCTGAAATTTCGCTACCATTATTTGTTTGGTCTGACGACCCAAACAAATAAAAACTAATGAAATATCAAAAATGAAATATTCTAATGAAATATTTTTCATAAAATTCAAAAATGGTAACATTATGATATTTACATCTCACGGTCGACTCTCAATCATAGAATATTTCTTTTATTGAAAACACATGAAAACCGTGCATTTACAGATAAAAAATGTTGCGGAAGAAGATATTATGCTACTACTTTTAATAGGTTTTTTAACAAACAAAAAACATATTTATTTCATAACAGCGAGCATTCTTATTCAAATTTATGGATGCTCAAAATAGGCAAAAACACAGAAAACACCATGTCATTCTATTGTACTTAGATTTCCTAAATACGTATTGTGGAGAAAAGGATGCATGGACAAACGCTATAAAAAAGATTTGACCAAGAAAATTAAAGCCGTGGCAACAAACAAATAATTCTTTGCATGCATTTTACGTTTTATAATGTGACAATTTGTTTTGCTTCATGATTTTTATTATGTTTCATAACATAAATCATTTTTAAGTAACTGGCAAGTCTAATAATTTCTCCATTCCACATAGTAAATTAATTGTTAGCAAAAAATTAAAGTTTAGCCTTAATTTTATTAACAGGCTTTTCTGCAGAAGTGAAAATATTTTAAATGACTGGGTTATGCATTTCAGAAGTCAAAGAATATCTGTATAATTTGAATAGATGTTACACATTAATATATGTATATACTATTAGCCAGTCTGTTGTTTTCATATTTTTGTATTCTGATATTTCTTATAATATTGGTAGTTTTGAATTGTTACAGTTTTGAAACTGAGTTTATGCCTTAGGTTAAAAATAAATTAAAGATAATTCAAAATAAATCAATGACAATTTAGGTTGCATGGATTTGATCATATTTTTTTCTTTATCAGGTAAGCCTTGTAACGTATGTTATTTGTACACTGCGTCTTCCTTGCCAACACTTGTAAGTTTCTCATAATAGAACAGGCTGTATATGTCGAAACACTGGTAAATAATTCAATAAAAGTAATGATGATGATGATGATGAAAACTTTATTTAAAGGGGCAACATAGTTTGGTAATTTCAAGCTTCGTTTTGAGTCTCTATCAAAATGTACATATAGTATACAGTTCAAACAAATGATTTATATAAAGATACATATTTTTTTATCTAGTATTAAAATGATTTTGCATATATTCAAGGAGGAGAGTGTTTAGGGACTTATATAATAAAATGGCCTTTTTATAATTTACTCTCAGATAATTTTATAAATGCAGTTTAATTAAGAAAATTACTTGGGGCATTGAATGTTGGTATCTGTAGCTTATCCAAGATTTTTATTTTTAAATAATAATGGATCAGAAGTGTTTTATCTGCAGAAATGGATATTTTATTAAAGTAAAAAATAAATAGATTTCTATACAAACAAAAAAGTATAAAGAAAAAACCCCAAAGACAAGGTCAGTACACTCTTTTCCATGAACTTAAGCTATTAGCAGACAGCTTTCTGCCTCCAGAGATTAGCTGTGGTCAGTAATGATATGCAGCGTTCTATTTTTAGTAATTTTGAAAGGGGTCTATTCTAGGGCAAAAACAGATACAAAGCA